CTGACATCCCCTGTTCTAAGTCCCCTCGCCTCTCTGACATCCCCTGTTCTAAGGCCTTTCCCCCAGCCCTGATATTCTCTATTCTAAGGCCCCTCCCAGCCGTGACATCCCCAGTCCTAAGGCCCCTCCCAGCGCTGACATTCCTTGACCCTCCCCCTACCCGCCACCGACATTCCCTGTTCTAGGTGCCCAGGCGCCCTCTTTTCTGCCCGTCCCTTCCATGCACTCACCTCCGTCTGAATCACGTCGTAGAAATCCCGGCGAAAGTCGGTCACGAACATGGCGCGGACGGGGAACCCAGAGGCGGATTCAGACTCAGACTCGGACTCGGTCCGGACCCAGGCTGGAGCAGAGGCGCGGAGCCCGGAAGTCCCTCAACACTCGCGCCAAAATCGACCTCTTCCCATTGGCTGCAGGGCGCTCACCAATCGCCGCTGGAACGCCGAGCTTCCTTAACTGTGATTGGAAAAGCGTGAGGGGGCGGGCCTTATCGTCCAGCCAATAGCCATTTAGAACCTCCTCCCTCACGTTCTGGGCGATCACGCCCCTGCAGGAGACAATTCATCTTCAATGCCCTTGTTTTGTTGTGTGGACTCTCGTGCCGGAAGTTCACTGTGGTTCCGGAAGTTCAGACGCCATCTTTGTTCTGGGCAAACAATCTGATTTCTCTTCCTCAGTAGTACTTGGAACAGTGCTCCATTCAGTAAAAATCATGTGAGCCACTGCAGTCGTGTCCAGTCAAAATTTTTTCCTACTTCGTCTTCTCTGTCACCTGCGGATTGTTTTTGAAAGCAGCCACCCTTCACTTCCGCCGAAGTTCGCAGTGAAGACGAAATAGGACGGCTCTGCTCGCTTAGCATCCTGGGTAGTGTAGTCTTCAGCGGGAGAATGGGAACTACCACAGCATCCTTCGTGGGGGAAATGTTGTTCAATGGGAATCCAAATCTTCGATATAAACAAAAATGCGATTCTTTAGTGGATGTCTGGTGAAGGACGCACTATTTATTTAGGAGCCAAAGGGATCGGGGATGGGCTTGGCTGGATCTGCCCTCCTCATTCCCGGGTCCCCCTTCCGGTCCCCCCCCCCCGGCGCGGATGAGCCACTTCCGGCGGGCGCTGCGCAGGCGCGGCTCGGGCCGAGGCTCTTCGGGCAGGTCGCTCGCGCTCCCGGCTGGGCTTTTCTCTTCAGGAGCCGCAGGCCCCCGCACCGTCTCCAGCGATGGTAAGCGCGCCGCCGCCAGGCCCTGCTCCCCGGCTCCCGAGCCCGGGAGGCTCGACCGGGGCCCCAGGCCGCCGGGCCGGTGTGCCCGGGGGCTGGGCTCGGCCTTCCAGACCTCGGGAGGCCGCCGCGCGCCCCGCCCCCGGGGCCCGCAGTCCTTGGTGGAGGAGGGGCGGCGGCCCTTTTGCTCCCCCTCCCCCGCCTCAGTTTCCTCGGCCGGTCAGATCAGGTGGTGGGCGAGCCCTTTTGAAGCGCCTTTGGGCCCCACCCCCCCGAAGCTGCCGTGGGGTGTTGTGGGGGGAGCCAGGGAGGGCCTGGGGTCCAGAAACGTGGAGCGCAGATTGTCTTGGCCGCGTGACCCTGGACAAGTCACTTTCCTTCTGCTTGCCTCAGTTTACTCCTCTGTAAAATGGGGACGAGAGCAGCACTCGCCGCTCGGCGCTGTTCCATGGAGGATGCACGTTGTGGGAACAATGACGTCGTCCTCGAGTTGGCCTCAGTTTCCTTTTCTGTAAAACGGGGGTGGGAGTAGCTCCTCCCTCCCAGGGTTGTGAGAGTCACATGAGGTCGTTTTTGTTAGCTTAGCCCAGGGCATACAGCAGGCGCCACATCAGTGTGAGCTGTTAATAGCGTGACCCGAAGCCCGAAGCGGCTGAAAGTTTGGCCGCCTTCTGAGAGATCTGCGTAGGAATAGGGACAGGCATAGGGCGTGTGTAGACGCCCGTGCTGTACATGTGACCACACGGATGTACCGGGTACATGGACTGCATGTGTGCATCCACATATATGTAGATACCCTCCCCGGGCCAGGGCTGTCTTCATCCCCGTTTTATAGATAAAGAAGGAGAGGAATGCTGTGGCTTTGCCCAGGGTCACACAGCTAGTAAGTGCTTGAAGCAGAATTTGAACCCTCAGCCTTTGGCTCCAAATGTCGTGACATTCCCGCCGTGCCACCTCCCCCACCCCTAGCACTGGATTCAGGGTCTGGAAAAGAGCCGATTTTGAATTCTGCTTCAGACCCTGGTTTTATGACCCTCTTGTACTCTTTCCTTATCTGTAAAATGGAGTTAATTAGGGAGTTTCCTGAGGGCAGGGACTATCTTTTGCCTCTTTTTGTATCCACAGTGCCTGGCACAGTAGGAGGTGCTTAATAAATGCTTGATTGATTGGTTGATTAATGCCTCCCACGGCTGAGATCGAACAGTAAAGCACTTTGCAAACCTTAATGAGTGGTAACTATGGCGCCTACACCTAGTTGGGGGAAGGAGGGGGTGCCCTTTTGGCTCTAAACCTGCCGTAGACGTCCTGCTTCTTGAAAGTCCGGTCTCTTAGTCTTTGGGTGCCCAGCACCCAGTTGACTTGAATTCAGAGGATCAGAGTACCTAAGAGTATTGATTGATTGATTGACTGATAGAGGTGACCGTAGACCACTCAGGTTTGTCCTCTCCTGGGTGAAACTCGAGACCCAGAGAGAGCCCGGGAGCTGACAAGGTTGTAGGAGAATTAAATCCGGGTCCTTCTGTCTCCTCCTTCAAGGCATATTTTTTGATCACTCATTTATTTCTTCCCAATTTGTACAGTCACTGAATCTCATAGCCAGCAGACCCCATTGGGCCCTCTGAGAATCACTTTACAGAGAAGGCAGGGGACTCCCAGAGGTCACACAGCTTCAAGCAGGGGAGGTGTGAGGCCCAGCTTGTAGCCAGGCTCTTTCCATGACCCCACACTGCCCCTCCTGGTGTTCAGGACCCTGTCTGCTGGAGGGAGCTGGCTGTGGTGGGGACTCCTGGCTCTGACCCTTTCCAGCCTCTCCTGCCCACAACCTGGAGGCTTATTTGGCACATTGTGGTGGGGCTGTGAAGAGGGCGTGGCGGCACCACAAACTTGGGCTCGTGTCTTGTTTCTAGCACTTTCCCTGCTTTGTGACCAGGGATAGATCTGCCCTGGTGAGCAGAGCTTCCACTGCTGTGTGCTTCTCTGAGCCTCAGTTTCTGCCTCTGTAAAATGGGGCTGGTCGTGACAGGCATTTATTAGGCCTCCTGTGTGCCAGGCGCCAAGATAGAGATAAAAGCACCTCCCCAGGCTGCTGTGATCCCTCTGTCACTGCTGCTGAGAGGACGTGGTGGTTGACACGTCTTAGTGGAAGCTGTTCCTCTTCTTCCAGCTGAGAGGACTCTGCAGCACGTTACGCTGTCCTTGTCCCAGCTTGTCCCAGCTCTCGGGGCTTCTCAGACAGTTCTTGGAGGACACGCTGTGTCCCAGACCACTTTTCCCCTCAGACTCAGACTCCTCTCTCCTCCCTTTGGCCCATATTGTACCCGTGAGGAGCAGCCCTTCTGCCTAACTGTATTTGTTTAGGTCTGCACAGCGGTCATTAAGCTTAGTTGTGGCCAGGGAGGCCATGCTTGGGGACGTGGGAATTGTGGGTAAGACGAGCTTGGACTTTGTGAAGCTTGCAGTTGAGTAGGGGCGTTAAGACCCATCCAGAATTAGAGTTACCGGGTCAGCTGGGTGGCGAAGTGGATAGAGCACCAGCCCTGGATTCAGGAGGACCTGAGTTCAAATCTGGCCTTAGACACATAACCCTAGCTGTGTGACCCTGGGCAAGTCATTTAACCCCATTGCCTAACCCAAAACAAAAAAAAACAAAACAGAATTAGAGTTATCTGCATGTGGCAGGCAGTAAGCATTTATTAAGCACCTCCTGTATGCCAGGCTCTGGGGATACAAAAAGGGGCAAAAGACAATCCCTACTCTCACGGAGCTTGTGCCGTAATGGGGGACTACATTCAGACAGCTGTGGACAACAGTACTATAGGGGTAAATTTTTTTCACTGCTTCTTTGAAGAGGTGACCGTTGGCTTGGGTTTTAAAGGATTTGTCATTGTTCAGTTGTGTCTGACTCTTTGTGATCCCATTTGGAGTTTTCTTGGCAAAGATACTGGAGTGGTTTGCCATTTTCTTCCCCAGCACATTTTGTAGTTGAGGAAACTGAGGCAAATAGGGTGAAGTGACTTGCCCAGGGTCACACGGCTAATAGATGTCTGAGGCCAGATTTGAACTTGGGTCTTCCTGACTCTTAAGTCCGGTGTACTATCCACTGTGCCACCTAGCTGCCCATAAAGGTTAGGTTGGAATTTAACACTGGGAAGGGAAGGCATTCCAAGCATAGGAAACCACTGGAGCCTGAAGTGTACAGTAGAGGTGGATGCGTGCTGTGCTCAGATGTAGTGGCTGGATTGAGAGGAAACCAAAAATGCTGGGCCGGCTGACCTCTGCTGCTGGTGGAGTGAAGACCTGAAATGTGAGGCCAAAGGGTCAAGGATTCCGAGCAGGGAGGGACCCTGGAAACCTCCGGATCAGCCAGGGACACCAAGGGAAGGGAAGGAACTCACGGGGGGTCACCCAGGTAGAAAACATAAAGTGAAGAGCCAGGAGCTCAGAGTGGGACCATGCTGCCAGAGGTGAGAGAACTGAGGCCTGGGTGTGGAGACTGGCGAGGTGGAGGGACTGGCCAGCCCAGGAATGGGGCTTTGATGAGAAGGCCCTCGTTCTTGAAGTGGCCAGTGCTCAGAGACAGACAGGAGAGGGATGGAGCCTGGCCCCGGCCTCTTTGGGACAGGGGGAGTGCCCCCACCTGTGCCAAGTAGTGCCTTTTCCACTGGTGACTTGCCCTGGGTCCTATGGCCCAAGGCAAGGCTTGAGCTGGGCAGCTCACTGTCCACCGTGAGACTGTGAATGAGTCTTGGGCGCGGGGAAGGCCCGAGGTCATTGGGTTCCAGGACTTACTTTGTGGCCCTTCACAAGCCTCAGTTTCTCCATCTATAAGATGGGGGTAGTAATACACAGACCTTTTACCTCAGGTGGTTGTGAGGACAGAGCTTTGAAAGCGTTCCGGCGCTATAAATGTGATATGTTATCATTGCCCAGTAACGACCAAGGTAAAATGCTGGTGGGAGGTCACTCTGGGGCCGTGTCCCTGGCCACGGTGCACAGTGCTCACCCTGAGATTGAGAGAAATGGTTATTAAGTAACAAATTGTTGGGGAGATCCCTGACTTTTCCCCAAAGTTGACTGCCCCAGACTCTCTTATCTCGGTGGGGTTGTTGCCCCAGACAACTAGAAAATCTTACAAACAATTTAATCCAAGGTGAATTCTGGTCCACTCGCACAGGTTTGGGGGGGGGGGGGGAGAGCCTTCATCTAGGTTGTCCAAGGCTGGGGGTGATTTGGAAGTAAATGACTTGATCAAGGTCCCCCAGCCCTATTATAATATTCATTCTCTCTCATGACTTGTTGACCAATCAGAGTTGATTGCCCCCTCATGAACACCCTGTCTTCCAGGGATATGTAGGTGTTGAGTGGGTTCTATGAGGGGTCTTCAGCATTCCAGAGTGTCACTGACCTCTTTTATTAATTACAGAGTAGCATAATTAATTACCCAGAAACTATGTCTCTTGAACTTTCTATATATCACAAGATGAGGAATGTTTTCCCTGAATCTCTTGGCTGTGTGCCTCCTTAGGAAAAGGTCAGCTGGTGAAGAAGTTGCCAAGACCGAGGGTGGGGCTGAGCTGGCTCATTATTTAGAATGAGGCGGACAGTCCAGTGGAGAGATTGTGGAAATTGGCTCTTCAGCTAATGGAGACTTCTCATAGAGGGTCAGCCCCACTGCCCACTGGCTGGGTGACCTCCACAGGACCCTGAGTCTCTGGGCTTCCATTTCCTCCTCAGTAAAATGAGGGCCTTGCATTAGCTCAGGGCTCTCAACCATTTTTTTGTGTGTGTCAAGGACCCTTCTGGCTACCTGGTGAAGCCTCTGGACTCCTCA